CTGGGAAACAGAAATGCCATCTCTTCTTCAGCATCAACACTGTCTGCCTCAACAACAGGGACATGTTCAGAAATCTGTAACCCATCATCCTCGTCGTCCTGAGGAAACTCAAGCTCAGAAAGCTCAGGCTCAGACTGAGCCACAACACTGGCTCTGCAGCCAAGCATTTGATTAGATGATAATGACAATAGGAAAGGATTTTGGGTTGCGACACTGGATTTCCCGGTTTGATTTTTATTTTACTGGCATTTTAATATTATCTGGTAAATGAATTTATTGGCTGATGTGTTTGATGTTTTAAGATGATTTTACTGCTTTACTGTATTTTTTGATGTATATGTTGTAAGCCTCATTGATGCCTATGTGAGGCCGCTCTGAGTTCCCTTGTGGGGAGAAGGGCGGGATAGAAATGTATGAAATAAATAAATAAATAAATAAATAAATAAAATCCCTTGGCAATCTCTAGAGGTAAGAAAAAAAGATTATGGACACCACTTCCATAAAATTGCTGCAGACTGAAAGCTTAGACTGATAGAGTTGAGAAAACCAGGACTGCACCAAACCTTGTCTTGAAGCATTTAAACATTTTTAAAATAAGCTAGGATTTGAACTGTACACTGATGAAATCAACTCAATATTACTGTTACTGAAAAGACATGTTTCAAAACTGGGCATCAGAGAGGTACCTTTTTGGAAAGAAACCAAGGACGACGAAGCCATCCAGGACAGCATTAAGGCAAAAGGCTGGTGCCAAATCAGATACAAGAGGGATTTATATGCCCACAAAAGCTGTTCTGTGCTTCAGATGTGCAAGGCTGTCATTACAGAGTCAAGAGAGAACAGCTCCTTTCAGTATGCATCCAGGGCACCTGCAATATTGAGATCACTTTCTAGCAGCACATACCGGGGAAAATATTCAGCAACGTGCAGGAAGCCTGCCAATAAATGTCTCACAGACACACACATAAACACACACAAGCGCATACAAATATTATTTAGGTTATGGATACAATAAAGTGAAAAGGAACCACTCAAGTGAAGGTTTTTGTAACAAAAAAAACCTCACAAGGAAAAAATCGAGTAATTGTTTCGTCAAAGCAAGGTTGGTTGCATGCTACAAGATGTTTCTGGTGTGAGAGAATCAGCCATCTACGAAGATATTGCCCAGGGGATACCCAGATGTGTTACGATCCTGCAGGGAGGCTTCTCTCATGTCCGATCATGCCCTCACCACAAAAGCAGCGAGCTTTGAAATGGCTGAACAGAAGCTCTCCAAACGTTTAGGTGCTCTTACTGCCCCTTACAGGGAAAACCAGGTGATCCCTAATCCATCTAAAGAGCACCTCGAGCTCTGAGGATTACCTGGGAAGGAATCCCACTGGAAGTACACCCAAATACCTGGGAGTCACTCTAGACCATGTTCTGACTTATAAGAAGCACTGCTTGAATATCAAGCAAAAATGGGTGCTAGAAATAATATCATACGAAAGATGACTGGCACAACCTGGGAATCACAACCAGAGACAGAGAAGACATCTGCCTTTGCGCTTGGCTACTCTGCTGCTGAATACACTGTGGAATACTACGTTAAAACAGTGGATGTGGCTCTTAATGAGACATATCGCATTATCACAGGATGTCTACACCCAACACCACTGGAGAAATTATACTGTTTAGCCAGTATTGCACCACCTGATATCCATCAGGAAGTAGCAGCCAATCAATAATGAAAGGACCAAGGCAGTAACATTTCTGGCCCATCCTCTGTTTGGATATCAGACAGCATGCCAACGGCCTAAATTGAGAAACAGCTTCCTAAGATCTACAGGGATACTCACAGGAACACCTCAAAAAGCGAGAATCCAAAAGTGGCAGACTAAAACCTAGCACCTTAATTAGTGTCTGAGACCAGATGAGAAATTCCCTCCTGGGCACACAGAAGATTGGGTGACTTGGAAAGTGCTGAACAGGTTGCACTCTGGCACCATGAGATGCAGAGCCAACCTTAAGAAATGGGGCTACAAAGTGGAGCCCACAACATGCGAGTGCGGAGAAGAGCAAACCACAGACCACCTGCTACAATGCAGCCTAAACCCCATCACATGCACAAAGGAGGATCTTCTCACAACAACACCAGGAGCACTCCAAGTGGCCAGCTTCTGGTCAAAGGACATTTAGCATCATGCCAAGTTTTCAAACTTTATGTTTTTAAATACATGACAACTGTACCCTCAACTCACTTCTGACACAATAAATAATAGGCCTGGTCAATCCATGATTTTAAAATACTTACAAAACTAAAGTTCTGGTGGTGCAAATTTCAGAACTCCAACAAAACTCTCTAAATATCATTATAAATGGCAGTTCCTAATTGGTTCTATCATAAAAATCACCAATAATTAAATTTTGAAAGTTTTATTAGAGTTCTGAAATTTTCACCACCAGAACTTTAGTTTTGTAAGTACTTTCGAACCATTTAGGACCATGGATTGCCCAGGCCTAATAAATAAATAAGGGGAATGCTGTTTTCTGCACCAAAAATGCCTTTTTTTGCACATAGACCTAATTATGAAAGTTTTCATCAGTCCAGGATTTTTCTTGCTAATAATCATGAAATGTGTCTCTCAAGCATTTTTCACATATTTTGCAATATTACTTCTATTCTCAGATCCCAAAAACACTTCATTTAAAGAACCAAAATAGTGTTTGATTATTCTGATGGACACAGTTACAAACATCCAACTTACAAATGACTCATAGTTACAAATAGGAAGTGAGAGAAATCTACCCCTTGGAAGGAAAGTAATTCTCTCCTAGAAGTGTTATTATCAGGGAGAAAAGGAGTCTCCACTGAAGATTTATTACCAATCCTTGTTTCCACAACAAGGCCATTTTTTCAAAATCCAATTCTCACAGGGACAGAAAGTGAGGTGAAATCTTCTGAACAGGGGTACAGGCAGCAAAGGAAACTCCGCAGGGGTGTTAACCCTTCCCTATGGTATCCAAAGCTGAAATATATATATTTTGGATGGAGTTACACTTTAAAAATGTACATTTATTTATTTATTTATTTATTTATTTATTTATTTATTGCATTTTTTGACCGCCGTTCTCAGCCCCTTAGGGCGACTCACGGCGGTGTACAACATATAAAAAAAAACAGTTTACAATAAGCCATAGCATAACGAATATCTACATAACAAGCAATAATACCACAATCATATCATTAAACTAAATCATCCGCGTCATCTCATCATAGAATCATACACCAATCTCATAATCCATATTCCGTTCCAGTCGTCAGCCAATTGTTATAGCACTTAGTTAAACGCCTTCTCGAATAGCCATGTTTTTAGGCTCTTGCGGAATGACATAAGGGAGGGCGCCTGTCTGATGTCTACAGGGAGGGTGCTCCACAGCCGGGGGGCCACCACCGAGAAGGCCCTATCTCTCGTCCCCGCCAGACGTGCCTGTGAGGCAGGCGGGATCGAGAGAAGGGCCTCCCCAGACGATCTCAAGGCCCTCGTGGGCTCATAGGCCGAGATGCGGTCAGAAAGGTATTTTGGGCCGGAACCGTTTAGGGCTTTGTAGGCCAACACCAGCACCTTAAATTGGGCCCGGTAGCAGATCGGCAGCCAGTGGAGCTGGAACAACAGGGGCGTTGTGTGCTCCCTGCGTCCTGCTCCTGTTAGTAGCATGGCAGCCGCGCGCTGGACTAGCTGAAGCTTCCGGGCCGTCTTCAAGGGCAGCCCCACGTAGAGAGCGTTGCAGTAGTCAAGTCGGGATGTGATCAGAGCGTGTACCACCGTGGCCAAGTCAGACATCCCGAGGTACGGGCGCAGCTGGCGCACGAGCCGTAAGCTGTGCAAATGCTCCCCTGGTCACCGCTGAAACCTGGGGATCCAGGCTCAACGATGAATCCAGGGTCACACCCAAGCTGCGAACCTGCGCCTTCAAGGGGAGTGCGACCCCGTCCAGCACAGGCTGTAACCCTATACCCTGTTCGGCCTTACGACTGACCAGGAGTACCTCTGTCTTGTCTGGATTTAATTTCAGTTTGTTCGCCCTCATCCAGACCATTACAGCGGCCAGGCACCGGTTCAGGACTTCGACAGCCTCCTTAGTAGCAGGTGGAAAGGAGTGACAGAGTTGGACGTCATCTGCGTACAGGTGACACCGCACCCCGAAACTCCGGATGATCTCACCCAGCGGCTTCATGTAGATGTTAAACAGCATGGGGGACAGTATGGAGCCCTGAGGAACACCACAGGTCAAAGGCTGTGGTGTTGAACAGGTCCCCCAATAACACCTTCTGGGTGCGACCCTCCAGAAATGACTGGAGCCACTGCAGAACAGTGCCCCCAAGACCCATTTCTGCAAGGCGCCCCAGAAGGATACCGTGGTCAACGGTATCGAAGGCCGCTGAGAGGTCCAGGAGCACCAACAGGGACACACTCCCCCTGTCTAGCTCCCGGCGCAGATCATCCACTAAGGCGACCAAGACCGTCTCAGTTCCATGTCCCGGTCTGAAACCAGACTGTGCCGAGTCCAGATAATCCGTGTCTTTCAAGAATACCTGGAGTTGTGAGGCCACCACGCTTTCCATGACTTTGCCCAAAAAGGGGCATGTTCTGACTTACATAAAAATTCAGTTAATGAACAACCTTACAGAACCCATTTTGTTCATAACTTGGGGACTGCCTGTGCTGGAGTATATAGGGTACTCTTTTTTTAAAAAAAGCTTACGACTGCAGTTCTGCTGAAAGACTGTGTTACTGTTATGAAAAACCACAAAAATGACAGCAAAACCAGAACAAGCTAAAACCAAAAGGAAATAGGCTCACAGCCCAATACAAGGCGATGTGTTCATTTCTAGCAAAGCAACTTCCATCAAGACCAACCTAGTCCTCATTCTAAACTGCAGGACAAACCTTGGACATTTAACCACTTTGTCCCCACCAGATGGATTATCACACCATCTTCGCAGAATGTGGCCTTACCATCTCACTTTGTTGCACGTTTGGGTGGCACCCAGCGGGGATCCAGCCACCATGGGGACCTGGATGGGGCTGTGCTGCTTGTTCATGACGAGGTCCAGCTTCTCCTCCAGCGACTTGCAAGTGGCGTCCAGGGCCAGAAGTTTGGCTTCGATGCTGTCCAGCCGCAGGCATATGGTCTGATTGATGGAGTACAAGAAGGACTGGGGAGGAGAGGCATCCAGGTAAAGAAGAGCTCTTTCAAGACTCATCTATCATCAAATAACACCAAGCGCTCTCTAAAATGAAATTTACCAGTTATTCTAGCTTGCTTTTTTGCAAAACAGCCCTATGATATGTTTTAAATTAAGCTATTTCAAAAGCCTGGAATGCTTTCCGAAACAAATTGCAGCCATGAGAAGTATTTTGAAGCAACTCAAATGTATTTATCTACCTCTTTTCTGCAATTATTGTATTCAGAGCAATTAGCTTTTTAAAATCACTGAAGAGTAGTGGGGGGGGGGGGGGCTTAAAATTTAAATTATATAAACAATCAGGGCCAGCTAACACCTCTTAACAAAGGACTCCCCAGGCAGTAAACAGCCAGTCCTTGAATCTGCAAGGTCATTCAATGTTAATCAATGTGGCCAATTGCTACATTCACACCTGCCTCAAGCAGACAAGAGCTCTTTCCCCCACCCTGGACTTTCCACAGATACATAAACCCCTCTTGCCTAGTTTTCAACAGATCTCACAACCTCTGAGGATGCCTGCCATAGATCTAGGCAAAAAGTCAAGAGAGAATGCTTCCGGAACATGGCCATACAGCCAGGAAAACTCACAGCAACCCAGTGATTCTGGTCATGAAAGCCTTGGATAACACATAAATTATATTGTTTTAATTTCCTCTTAATTTCCTTTTAAAAGTATCTGGTGTGCCCTCTGGTGGACTGAAGTTAAAACTGAGCCAAAGTCAGCAGAAACCATGAAAGACGAAATCTAGTTACTGAAAAGCTCATCACAAAACTATATTGCTCAAGATAATCGACAAATAACTAAGCTGAATGTTTCCTCCAAGTTTATATGCAAGGGTCCTCCAAAACCAGTATGTAACACATATTGTCTTTCCCAAGCCAAGTTAACCAATCTATGTCCCAACAACCCAGTGAATACTTTACAACACAACAGAGCACTGCCTTATCATTCCAGAACAAGCAACAACAAAAACAAAATATCAACAGCTGCCACCTTAATGGAGGGGTCTTGGCAATTGATTTCTATCCGCTGACGTTTTAAAGGTGGATCTACATCTTCATCTGTCACTTCATGGTTTTCCAGCACCACTGTGAAGCAAAAACAAAGCAAACAATTCTCAAAATTTCTATAAATGACATCTATGTATCGGCAACAATGCACATTGTGAAGCGCACATACAGAATCATAAAGGTAGCATTAAACTTTGAACTGTTCTTTGTGCTGTGTATCCCTCCAAACACATACCTGGGTGATCTGGGTTCAAGTCCTCCACCGCAATCTGAACCACATCCGCTAAGTCTTGTTCTGTCATCATTCAGAAACAGGCCGCAGGGTTTGACCGAAAGAGATCTGTTAATTCATGCAGTTCAGATCCTGCAAAACACCATAAAGAAAAGTTAAGAGTCACTCTAGGTCTGTACCATGTATTTTTTCTTGTCCAAAAAAAAGTCATGTTCTCAAGTTTAGGTAAAGAGTGCATTCAAAGCATTTACGAGATTTTTTTTAAATGCTATTTTTTAAAAGTCCTAATGGAACCCTCTAAACCTTAATCGAATTATTTGAGTATCCCTTGGGATAAGAAATGTTTTGGATTTTGGATTTTTTTCTCAGATTTTGGAATTTCTGTATTTGCATGCATTCATGCATACACACACACACAATATGAAACATGGAGCCCTCAGTGCCACAGTTAAAGAGCTGAGCTACTGTGCTTGCTAACCAAAAGGTCACCAGTTCAAATCTGGGGAGTGAGCTCATGCTGTTAAGCCCAGCTTCTGCCAACCTAGCAGTTCAAAACATGCAAAATGTGAGTAGATCAATAGGTACCGCTCCGGCGGGAAAGTAATGGCACTCCATGCAGTCATGCCAGTGTCCATATGACCTTGGAGGTGTCTATGGAAATGGAGACGAGCACCAACTCCCCGAGTCGGACATGACTGGACTTAATGTCAGGGGAAAACCTTTACCTTTACCTTCCATAATGAAACAGATTTGAGATGAAACCCAAATCTGAACATGAAAAGCATTTATGTTACATAGATACCTTGTACACACAACCTGAAGGCAATATAATACACTGTATTTTATATAGTTTTGCACATAAAACAAAGTTTGTAAACACTGAACTCTCAGAAAACAAAGGTGTTGCTCTCGCAGGCACCCAGGTGGACAATACTGTGTTTTGGAAGATTTCAGATTAGGGAAACGCAACCTGTTTATGGGCAGAATCTAGCCAGGATTTTGTCTTTTGAGCTGCAAATGATTTCAAACAAAATAAAGCACACTGAAGTCTGAGGGCCTTAGAAATGTTTAAGTTGGACTAACTCGTGTGCTGCTTTTAGCATATTAACTTTTGTCTGACTTTTGGGTTTCAGCTCACTCAGAGCTTTCACAATCAATTTATCTATATATACATGAGGAGTGATGGGTCTTATAGGATCGCTTTGTCAATGCAAAATTAGATTTGGAAGCTTCCCTGGTTAGAATTAAATCAGGCTTCAGTCTCCAGAGTTTCCACAATTCGGCTCCTGCAAGATTTAATTCCAATCCAGTTCGAGGGCCAAATATTTTTCCAACGACATCCCTCTGGAGTTCCCTGTCAGGGATTATTAGATGTCTATTGAAGGGAAATGCCTCACATCCAAAAGCAGAATTAAAACCACTGAAGCAATTCACATCTGCATTTTCCACAGTTCGAAAATGGAGGGGATCGAGAGATTTAATAGGGTGGGGGACATGCACACAAGGAGATGCAGAATGCCTTTTTTAAACTACCTGGAACAAAAAAAAATTGGCAAGATAAATCTGGTTTGCCAGTGGAAATGGCAACCCATCTGAATCACTGAAGAAATGCCAGCTAAATACAATGGTTTCCTCCATTCCCCTGCTTTTGCCCAAATGTAAAATCACAATTAAAAGAGGCAGGTGGACTACAACTTGCAGGCAGACACATACACACCAAAGCATCACTCAGACCACTGGACCAGCCAAGGCAGCAACTGTTTGTTCAATATGTATGGATGGATGTATTCTAAATTCATCCAAATGAAGACACTACACGGCATCAGAGCTGTTTACTCAAAACATTTCCCTGCCAAGAGAGATTCATTTGAAATTCGGAAAACTATTATGACTGCATTCAAGGTGGCAATGTGCCCAAGCGGCCTGGCAAGGGCTTTCGGGCATGTGGTTGCCATTTCGATCCTTTTGGCAAATCAGGTTTGCCGTTTCTCAGAAGTCCTGGGAAACAGCCAGTGCTAACATAGTAAAACAGCTGTGCAAGGATTACAGTTTCATAATGTCACTAAAAGCAAGTGCGATTTGAAAAGCCCTGCCCTACCTTTGCAAAGAGATTCATCTTTCGGTGTGAAGAAAAGCATAAAACAAAGTCAAGTCCACTGTCTCATCCATTCTACTGTCCCACAAAGAAAAGCAAAATTGCAGAGATGAAAACAATACAGCTTTGAAATATCTGTATTTTACAACCACAATTCAGTAGGTTGCCATAAGTCCACAATGATATAAAATTTTCACAGTACATACTTCATGTGTCAAATATTTCTTAAATAATTTCTTCATTTTTGAGTTTAGGGTCTGACCGTCCTAGATGTTTATGTCGTGTATTTTAAAATATACTGAAATGTTGTTTGTTGACATTCATGTCTTCTGCCTACCCTGCATTCTAGCCCATCCAAGGCCTTTTCCAGATCTCTGGATGCCACTGGATAATTTTTTTAGAAAACATGCAAAGCCCAGATTCAACTGTGTGTATAATGCTTTATTGAACCCCTTAGTCAACAAAGAGGTTAGCATATTATCGTCTCTGCAGAGACAAGATACAGGCAGATCTCTGTCAAGTCGTGCTGGATCTTTATCGGACTCAGGAATCCATGTTGCATCCTGCCAGGGAAGAGGAATTTCGACTAGTCTCCTACATTTCCTCTTTTGTTTTTAAAGATAGTTGAGAACCTTGCCTCATATGAAGCTTATTACAGAACTCCATATAAAGCTAGCTGGCTAGCTCTGCTCCTTTTTCATTTTATTCTGGGGTATTTTCCATGACAGGTACCTTCTGCATATTTTTGTACATACATGCAATGCCTCTAATCTGAATACAGATATTCTTGCAGAACGTTTGTGCTCCCCTTATTCCAGCTCTATTTGCAGCGGAACCTAAGGAAATAAAACCAGCCCAGCTGGAAGGAGATCAGAGCTTGGAAAAGTTACTTTTTTGGACTACAATTCCTACAGCCTTCCCAAACAGATAGCCAAGTCAGTGGCCTGGCTGCCTGCAAGATGCGGGAACTTGATGCCCAAAACGTTAACTTGCCAAAGTTAATTTTTGATCACAAAGTCCAGCTTCCACAGACATCAACCTTTGGAAAACTCCATGAGTGGCATGAAGATAATAGTGTAACCTTGACGTTTTAAAAAGCCCTATATAGGCTATGTCCATGTTATTTCCCTTTCCAACCTGCTTGTATTTTGAGATTTGCCAGGAAGATACATCTGATGGCTTATTTTTATTGTGCTTTTTTAAAAGGGGGAATTCCGTTTTTAACAAGTTATATTTTTATTATTTAATCAGCTTTTTAACTTCTGTATTTTGTGATGTTTTACTATGAATGTATATTATTTCTTGTAACCTATATTGAGTCTTGATCTGGGGAAAAGGAGGAAGTACGGTGATGACAATGACATAATAATAATAATAATAATAATAATAATAATAATAATAATAATAGCAGAAGATTGGACAGCTCAGGACGGTTGGGAGCATACTTGATGCAGAAATGCAATGGGATGTGTAGTTCATCTTCTTCTAATATTGCTTGCTCACCTGTATGCAGTTTCATGCACCAAAGTGCCAAAAAGCCATCATTCCCAATATTTGTCTTACTTAAATGTGGTTCAGCTCACACCAACGCAGACAACTATTTTGGGATACTTCCTGAAACAGTCTGAAGATACTACATGCCTTTCTTAGCCATGCAAAGTTTTGTTTGTTTAATAGCATGAAAGGCCTATTCCTGTCTTTTCATAGTAAGACGATTTTAAGTATTGGTTTGGTTTATCCGTTCCACGTTCAACTGGGTACCACATGTGAACAAATCTCAAGTCTTTTTCTTTCCCCCAAATTCCTAAAAGCTTGCTCGAGGCTTTAAGACACACATACTTTCCAAACTCTGTTCCAAGGCCACAAAAATATAACTTCTTATCCTTTACGCTTTTATCAAGGTGTTTGCTTTTCATTTAATGAAAAGTGAAAATTATTTCGACTCCGTCAAATGTTAAAGGCCAAATGAATTGGATCAGAGGTGATTTGCAAGCTGTCGGTTCCATTTTTTACTGGCACATCAATCCTCAAAACATATTTAACTTGAAAATAAGGCCCACTTATTGAAAAAGAATTGGCTCCAAAACAAAGCTGCTTTGGATCACAGTTTAAGGACGAGACCCAAATCTCGAAAACTGCTTGAAATCTACAACTGACTTCATCTGAGTGTCATGTCACACGTCTCCTTTGACATCTCCAGTTGGAACATTTTGCAGAAATAAATGACGGCTTATATATTAGGTTGGGGAAAATTCAGCAAATCTCAGGGTGTTGTCTCTTTTGCCTGTTTGAAAAAAAATGAAAAAATTGTGGATTGTTCCCACATTAACTCAATTGGCAATCTTTAACCCAAATCCTAGACAATGGGGACGTACTTCTGAGAAAACATGAACCATCTGACAAAAACTGAATGAAGTTCTCCAGGTCTTCTGTTATTTTTGTAGCAAACACCAAAAAGTCAGGAATTTTGGTGTGTCCTTTGTAACTGATGTTTTTGTCATTAAGAATAAAACCAAGTTGCTCAGACACCTAAAAATGTCAACATTTTTCCCTTTCTCCATAAAGCAGGCTTGTCTATGGCATCTAGGAACCAAAAATTATGTTTCAATTCCAAATTGGGAACCAACTTTGTCCAGGAATTAATTCCACTTTGAAAACAAAACCATCCAAACATTTGTAAAAGATAAAACCAAACCATCTCAACATTGTCTTCCAGGAATTTCAGCGTCTGAATCCAAAAATCTGTACTCGGAGTATGAAAGCTGTCACCATTGTTCTCCAACATACAAAATGAAGGAAACACTCATTAAATTGGGACACCTGTCAAGACATAAGGAAGTGTTTTCTTCCAGTATTGAAAGGGTATTTACTTGGAAGTATCGTTCTTGGCTCTTCTAGTGCCTTCCGAACCAATTTGCTTTTCTCGCAGATGTTTGTGGTACTGTAGTAATTCACTGTACCAATACAAATACTTTGGAAAAAGCTGGACCAAGAGCAAGCCCCATTTCACAGGAGAGTAGAATGAATCCAGCAGAAA